AATTTTGAAATTGTAGCATTAAACCAACAAGTGTATTTTTCATAAAAATAGTTATCATCGTGTTAAATAAAAACGTTCTGATACCAGGGATCTGGCATGTATAACAATTGTTTGAATGTGCACAGCGAAGTAAGATTTCGATACAAATGTGCAGTCAAGTATATACTTTTCTGACCACAAGTGACTTTTCTTGAAACAAATACTTATAAAACACTATTGTAATGTATTACTGGTCTCTTGCCAACAACCCTCCCCCCCCCCCCCGAAAAAATCAATAGCAAAACTTCTGACCACAAAAGAATTACATTTTTCTTAGACAATAGTAACAACAAACTTAAAAAGAAAAAAACGATAGCAATTTATTTTTGAGAGGTTAACAGCTAAAACGAACCCTTAAGAAAATACCAGGTCTCTAGTACTAGCACCGCCATCTTGTGAATGGCGAGCCGTGTGGTACATGCTCCGTTAATCTAACTAGGAGCCAATATGAATCGTATTATCAACTGTTATTTTAACCGAGGAAAGGGGATCTGGCGTTACTTTTTCGACGTATATTAGACCACTAAGAATCTTCTTCCTCACACAACTATAATACGACTCTCTGAAAAGCCACTATAGCAGTAACTTACTTGGTCTAACAGTTAGAACGCGAACTCATACCTATAACACTTGAACACGTACCTACCTCTCAGTCTATCAAATAGACTGCTTCAATAAGTCTTGCTGAATCTGGCAAGAATACAAGACATCCAATGTCACTTGTGTTGGCAACTTACTAATATTTTAATATTTATCACACAATACGGCTATGTGGAATTCATTGTGAAACGTGGGGTAAGAGTAATTGTAGACAAGAAATAAATAATATGTAGCTGAGGCTGATATTTCTGTATAGCAATAAACGGTAAAAGTAAAGTCTGTAATTCGATGTGTAAAACATTAAATATTGTTATTTGTTTGTTCGTTTGTTTGTTGTTAAACATAAAGCTACACAATGGGCTATTTTTGCTCTGCCCATTGCGAGTATCAAAACTCGATTTTTAGCGTTATAAGCCTTCAGACTTACCGCAGAGCCACCGGGAGGCAGATATTGTTATAACACGTTAACTTTTCAACACTATGAGCGGAAATCCTATACACTCTCGCTAAATTGTTCAACCGACACGTTAAAATAATTCGTGAGGCCTTGAAGTACATGCACAAGGTTAAAGGCAGTCCTTGCGGCTTAACTGTTCGACATCCATACAGTTTACAAATAATGCCATTAAGAAAACGTGTAACCAGATTAAATTTACCATCATGGTCTGTACCACAGGAAGTTATATGAATAAAGAATTAAACTGCTGTAATAACTAGCACCGTCAATAATACAACCACAGTACATGTTTAAGCTTCGTAACTGACAGACACTGTGTCTGCATATGTACAGCGATATCGCATACCCTACTCCTCAGAAATGCAACACAGTAACTGATATTTGCAAGGCGTGAGTCACGCTATAAAAAGGTAGATTCTGTCATTAGCCAGATGACTGGAGAGGCTCTACGCATGCCTAACTAGCGGCATGGTTTCATCATTCTCGTACTTGCCAGCCGTTGCGGCTTCAGCTGCTGACTTCTAGATGCATAACACGTTCAACTCTGCCAAGTTGCTTTAACATATTTATAGCTTCAGAGAGTTTGTGGATGAATTTCTGGAAGCACATTGACTCGCTATCATTGGTCTACATTCAACTACATGTAAGTCGTTCAGCCTACTACGACCTCACCGACAGATACTTTACAATGTATACTGTTAGTACAGAAATATGTGGGAGATCAGAGACTAGGTTTGTATAAAACAAAATATAATACTATAACTCTCGAAACCTGTAAAGCTGTCGTGGATATTTACATATCAATATGAAATTATAGTAAGTTTAACCGTTATCATAATTCTTCAAATGTGCCTTGTCACATGTAGGTTTACCGTCTACAAATCCATTTCACTATCTCATCTTGTAATCCTTACAGTGGCTCGTGCTCGTTTCACGACTGTTTGATTTTAGTCTTGCATGTCCAAATTATATTTACTCGCTTTGTTTCTCAACCATAGCATTAAAAATGGATTTTGATCTGTCTGCCTAAAGGTTCTGCATGTTTTAAATTTACAAGTCGGCTCTTGTCACTAATGTATTTCATGGTAAAATGAATGTTTCTACCCATTACATGTTCAAAATAATATCTCCTACTATCTTTACAACTCCACCATTAACACAGCGTAATGGCATACACTTCACTATGAACTTAACCAGTTTAGAACTAACAAGAGATATGTTTGTTGGTTAGCTTTTCGTAACTACAAATCTAACAAGTAGTTCGCAAAAATACGAAGGCTAATTTACTGCTGTGCATCACTCCCAAGCTTACCTGAATGGGTTAATCCGTTAATAGTACAAGCTTTGATTCTGATGTTGGACCAGTGTGTGCCAGACAATAGGCAACTTAATATAAGATGGTAGGGCAAGTACTCGGCAAACCTCAGTAGCTTAACTCTACACTGATGAAGGTCGTCGCTCTCCATCCTAGCTATGCGGCTAAGCCGCACTCGCTCTTCCGTTCGGCATGTTTCTCCAGATACTGTTTAACTCCATATAACACTCGTAGTGCACTGTAAATACTCACCAAGGTCGGAATAGCTGAGAATATAGAAACGCACGCTCGTTTTCAGGTTTTCAAAGAGTTTTAGCAAATCATTTGAGCAGTAGCTTATCATGTCTACTACTCTCCAATCACACAGCTACGGGCACGAGTAGCGTTTCCGAGCTGCGTGGTGAGGAATCACGAGCAAAACGCAACCTAGTCTACCGGCCGGCTTCGGCACCAACCGAGCGCCTACGGGTATCCTAACTCATGAACACTCATAAAAAATATCTTCCCGTCCCCTAATTCCCCCTCTCCCTTCCATCCCTTATGCGTAAAAAAATCTCCCCGCTTGAACCCAGGCTGTACCAAAATCGCTGTAGATAGGGTGGGGTTGTAGAAACACGGCAGACACCAGTGTTAAGGGTAATAAAAAAAAAAAAAACTTACGCTGATGGTTTAAGCCCTCATTTGAAATTTAAAATGCGAATATAGTTACATCTACTGGACAAATTTAAATTTAGGAGACTGCTTATTCATCCATGTTTTAGCCGAATTCAATCAAAACGAGTTAACATTTCTTAAACACTTGTATGCCAAATGATTATCGAAATGAGTGAGAAGTCGCAACCTCTGACCAATACAGAGGTAGGTAGCATCATCATGCGTTACATGTACTGGATTGGAATAAGCAACGGCTGATTAAAGCTGCCATCTGGTTAGCTGGTGAAGATTGCGCGTCAAAACTCTACAGGTACATTCCATTACCGTTGTCTGTCTCTGTACATATTACTTGTAAGCATTGGCGCTGTCACCATGTTTTTTTTTGGTTTTCTCCAAAACTTTTGCTCTACATATGTGCCTGTTTATACACAATAGCATTAGGTGTGGAAAAGGATGTTTAATAACAGCGGAAGACACGCGCGCATTGTAATTACAAGTGTAATTTACAGTCGGCATAAAATGAAAATCTGAGCAATAAAAATCATGAAAACTAAAGTTATGTCTAATCGTAGGACACTATCAATTACTTAAAAAAAACTTAACTTTAAGATAAGATAGGTTTAATATTAAAAATATACTTAAGTGTACCTAACTACATTTTATTTTCTATAAGCAACATACAGTCCCCAGTGAGACAGCGATAAGTTTAAGGACTTACAACGCTAAAATTCGGGGTTCGATTCCAGCGGTGGACACAACAGATAGCACAATGTGGCTTTGTTCAGAAAAATAAACAGACAACATACGCTTACTTCTAAGCACGAGTGTTTGAATTATTTTGTTATCCAAGATTAAAGGTACTTCTACAGGTGAAGTGTAAGTTTATATAGTAACTTGATGAGCCTCAAGAGAGCACTTGGATTGTCTTACAAACATGTAGAATAATTTGATTTACATAAAAAAATCAGTTATACATATAAACTACATCTGTACAAAACAAGTTACACTTTAACTAATAAATTTAAAACTAGAACTAATTGTACTTTATTTTTTAATGATTTATAATTTTGATGGCTCATCCTAAAAAGTCTGTTATTAGCCAGAACCACATATTTCATTATCGAGAGAAATTAAGATCCTTTCGTATCACAGCCTAGTAACGAAATTCTCAAAAAAATTACTTCACTGGGTAACGGATCTTTCAAAACGTGTCACAGGAAATATTTCCAAGGTCGAAATTCTGGCTTCAACTATAACAAAAGATTGATATGACCTTGGATGAAATAATAAACAAAAAAGTTATATTTGGTGTTCTTGATAACATCTATTGGATCTAATGTTCCTAAAAATTCCTGAAAAACTTTAAAAACTGGAAAACAATTTTTATTTTTTTAATGCAGCTATATTTGACACCTAAGAAATCAGACAATTTAAGATAATAAAAATAATTCAATCCTATTTGTTAGTCTTTAATATTCTCTATCAGACAGTAATACTTAAGTAGCCATATATATATATATAAACCGTTAAAAAAATAATGACTTGGTAGCTGATATAAAAAAAAAAAATCAGCCTTGTTGCTTCGAAGGCATTCTAAAGTTCTCTGCACTGGGTAAGACGCTAGAGCGATCAAGCATCACGATATAGGACAGACATCGTCTAAAGACTGAACCCTGTCGGAGCCCCCATTATACATGTACTTGTTCCCCACCCTTGGCTGGTCACGTGACCCTCACATCCCTTTGTTCCATAACAAAGCCAAGGGCGTCCCCTAAAGAACACATATGAGCTGCACCGGAGGCCCCTATAGTATTGCTTGGATTAATCTCGATCCCAGGTATCAGGACGCTGCTATACGAGGGTATATATATACATAAAATTTGTAGTGTACATGTACCGTTGATGTGCATGTGTACTGTATGTATTTTACAAGATTATCATTTCAGGATACTGCAGTTCTAGGAACGCTTACGTTCAATGTAACTGAAACGTTAACACAGCAGCTATGATTTACCGTAAGTCAGGAATATCAAGACAAATATTTCTGCTTCATTGCACCATTTCGGTAAGTTTTTTGACTCATCGCTAACGATAATGGATTATTAGCTACCAGCATTCTGCAAACGCTACATATGCAAATTGTAGGTGAGCACGGGACTTTGTACGTTAACCTGAAAGGGTACAACTTTTCAAGATATAATCTGAGACAGAAGAACGTATCTTGAATACAAGAATCCGTAAAACTCCTTTCTTTACTATTTACAGACATTTGAGCAACATCTACATTGTTAACTCAGTGCCACGCTTCTGCTACACATAGTGCTTGACTAAACCAGAACTCGAGTAGTAAGAAACTTTCCTGTATTAGTGTTCATGTAACAGCAGAATGCGATGCGTTAGCTAGTGATCATGTAACTGTAGAAAGTGATGTGTTAGCTTGTGTTCATGTAATTGCAGAACGTAGTGTATTACCTAGTGTTCGTGTAACTGCAGAATATGGTGTGTCAGCTAATGTTTAGGTAACTGTAGACTCGAGTATTTTCTGTCATGTGTAGTTAGCTCACTTTATAAGTCGCGTGTTAGCCATGCAGTATTCGTGTAATTACAGACTGTGATACATATGCTAAAGCTCAAACCACAACTGCAAACTGTGAAGTATCAGTTGCTGTTCATGCAACTGCAGAATATTATGTGTAGCTGGTATTCATGTAACAGAATCTGGTGTGTTATCTAGTGGTTATGTAACAGCAGATTATAATGTATCAGTTAGTGACTATGTAACTGCATACTATGATATACCAGCTAATGACTATGTAACTGCAGATTATAATGTATCAGTTAGTGGTTATGTAACTGTAGAATGCGATGTATTAGCTAGTGTTCATGTAACAGCAGAATGCGATGCGTTAGCTAGTGTTCATGTAACAGCAGAATGCGATGCGTTAGCACCACAGCCTACAGTTACACGAATACTAAAATATAACATTCTGCAGTTACGTGAACATTAGCTGACACATCATAGTTTGCTGTTACATAACCAATAGCTGATACATCATAGTCTGTTGTTACATAATTACCAGCTGATACATCATAGTCTGTTGTTACATAACCACTAGATGATACATCATAGTTTGCCGTTACATAACCACTAGCTGATACATCATAGTCTGTTGTTACATAACCACTAGCTGATACATCATAGTTTGCCGTTACATAACCACTAGCTGATACATCATAGTCTGTTGTTACATAACCACTAGCTGATACATCAGATTCTACAGTTACATAACCACTAGCAGATACATCATAGTCTGCTGTTACATAACCAATAGCTGATGCATCATAGTCTGCTGTTACATAACCAATAGCTGATACATCATAGTCTGCTGTTACATAACCAATAGCTGATACATCATAGTCTGCTGTTACATAATTACTATCTTAGGCATCATAATCGGCAGTTACATGAACACTAACTGATACATCACAGTTTGCAGTTGCTTGGGCTTTAGCTTGTACATCACAGTTTGTAAATACATGAATACTGCATGTCTAAAACGCCATAGTCAACAGTTATCTGAGCACTAGCTGATACATCACAATCTGCAGTTCCATAATTACTAGCTTAGACATCATAGTCTGCAGCTACACATCAGATTCTATTACATGAATACCGGTTATACATCATATTCTGCATAAACAGTAACTGATACATCACAGTCTGCAACTGTTTGAGCTTTAGCTTGTGCATCACAGCCTGAAACCAAATGAACACTAACATGCATAAAACATTCTGTAGTCATATGAAAATTAAGGGACGTTAACAGAAACATGACTTTAAGTACACTCTGTTTCTACACATTCCAACATTGCAATGTACTACACATCAGTAATGAAAGTTTATCTTCTTGATATACAATTATATTATATTCGGAAGTATACACTTTGCAGATACTCTAGACATATAGTCTTGCAATACGCAATTTTTTATAAAATATCCAATCATGAGATACAGACACTAGAGGTACGTCTTATATCAGGTAACATTATACACAATTATATCCCACATGATTTTTAGGAATAAAGTTTAAATACTACACTTTCATACTTGCATGGTGTGTGAAATGTTGATATAATACATTATACATTGACAAATACAGTAACATGTCTATGATGTTGAAAAACAATGTAAACAATTTCAGTTGCATAGCACGCAGTATACAGATTGTTCAAAGACCATTATACATTGTAAGTAACCTTATTTAAAGCAATAAAAAAACATCGACTCACAATCACAATGTTTTTGCACTAAAATAGTTAACAGACATATACAATATACAGATAATACGGCTAAGCACTATGTGGTTGTGAATACGATGTCCATGTATATATATTATAATTTGATACAGGTTTACGTACAAACATCATTTATAGACACTATTTGTAAAGAGCATTATGTACTAAACATAATGTACAGGCAAAATTTGATAGTGAATATGTACAGAAGCACACAGATTCGAGTTGGATGTCATACTTCATACACAACCCCCTTCAGGATCAAGTTAGATAAGATATCATATACAAACATAACCCACAGACACAACAGTATGAAATCACGAAACACCTAAATAGAATTTACCCTCATAACATAAGTATAAAATAAATATACTATAGTAACAAACGATTCGATGCAGGTATAACAAGCAGATTTGAAATGAACGGTACATAGACTTAAAATGAGACCATCCCGTGAGATGATCTATACCATACATAGATATATATTTATATTTACAAGCTTTAGTTATTATATGAAAAACGTGTAACAGCGTGAACATGGACAATTGGTGTAAAATATGAATATACAGCGAAGATGCCTTTATAACAACGTTTAAATAATGAAGGTTAAGGTGTTAAAATGACTTGCCAAGGACAGTCATAAGTTTTTTACACAATACAATAGAAAAAGTTCTAAACGACAACGACCAGATTATTATAGATCATACAGTGACAATAACTACAGGAGTACCCAATGTTTGTTTCTCACACAATCGAATAGCAGTAACAAAGGTGTGAACAATGTCAAATAGTTATTTTTATTGAACTATATTTTAACAATGGTGTAGCTATTTTTTTAAATTATATGAATGGACATCAATCTATACAATGAATATGGTAAAAAATGCTCCACGGATACAGTAGTTTTTTGTTCGCCACTTTATTCACAAAATTACTAAGGGCAGCTAACACTTTATTTTGAAGAATATATTAAAAGTACTAAAACAGCCAGAAATTTATTTTAAAGAATGTAGCACGAAAAATAATAAGAACATCCATTTTTATTAAACCCCAAAATTCCCCCAAAGCACGAAGTGTCACCAGGTTTTCAAACACATTTTTCTAAACTATTTATACAACAAACTTCTACGAGTCCATAAATCTGACGATTGCAAAGCCCCTAACAGCATATGAGTCATATGAAAAAATAAAAACATTATCAATGCTGCAACTAGTTGCAATTTTACAAAAAGAGAGAATGAGTGAATTTGCCTAATATTTTGATCAGTTCCTTAAAGTGAGTGTTGTTAATGGCAAAAAAAAAAAACTTTACTCAATATGGTACAATAGTAGAGCCCGCCCCTAGTGAACAGTATATAAACAAATCTGTATTTTGAGGGTCAAACACAGCAGGACTGTTATCAATTCCCTCAAATAATGCAGCAATAAAGTAACTAACATATGGCAGCTACCCCTTTCTGTAAACGGTACAGTAAATAAAAGTAGAAAGTCAGACACAAATTTATTTAAATAATTCTCTAAGAAAGTAATACACGGTACTTAAGGGCAGCCATTGTTTTATCTATATAATGCAATATAATAAAATTATTAATTCAAGACAGACATTAGGTTTTTTAAAACAATACAATACCAAATTACTAACTAAGGACATCTCTAGTTTCTTTACATAATGCAGTACATTTAGGGCAACCATTAATGTAACAGTCAAAGATAATACCTCTCCTTAGGAGTTTAGTGATAATATATACACCAACAAACCAATAAATATGTATGTTTGGATATTTGTTGCCATTGATTTATTTAAACAAGTCAATAACATTATGAAACCAATCATACGTTTTTCTTTAAACATGGCGGTAAAATGAATATCAGACACAGCCACTAGTTTCTTTAAACAATGCAATGACAAAAGTACTAATATAAAGAAACTATTATTTTCTTTAAACACTGTAGTAATCAAGTTGCTAATTAAATACAACTGCTATTTCTTAAAAACAATGCAGTAGTGAAGGTGCGAAGACCAACCATTTATTTCTTTAAATAAAGTATCAACGAAGTAGGGAAATTCGCTTCTGTAAACACAGCCCAGTAGCAAAAGTATACGAAGGACAGCCATTGTTTTCTATAAACCAAAAGTAGAAACAAAATGTGGAGTAACAAAAGTACGAAAAACAATCACTGCTTTCCTTAAATAAAGCACTAACAATGGACAGCCGTAAGTTTATTTAAACTAGAAGTAGAAACAAAATGCTGATTAAAGACAGCCATTAGTTTTCGTTATTTTTTATGTGCAGTAACAAAATTACGAAGAACAATCATTGCTTTCCTTAAATAAAGCACTAACAATGGACAGCCGTAAGTTTCTTTAAACAACGCAATAATATAATGTACAGACACTATATAATTAGACAGTGAATGAAATACAAATATAACGTACACAGACAAATGTTGGACAGCATGCGTTCCACAAAGTATCGTATGATATATAAATATAATTTACTACCACTGCAGCAGTATGTACATGAAATACAGACACCATAATAAGATACGATATAATCCACAAGCATTAAGCAAGGTTTGAAAAATGGATATAGTCGCTAAACTTTGACTAAATTAAACATATTAATATATATATACACATATATCTTATGAGTTATTATACAGAATAAAAAGATCCACAGAGACGAATGATAAACATAAAATGCACAGTGAAGGCTTTATAATAACTCGTAAACAATGAAGGTTAAAATATTAAAAACATTGCTCCAA